GAGCAGACGGCGTGGTGGGGCAGTGTGTGTATGTAGATGCTTGTGTGTGTGTGCTTTGTGTGTGTGTGTGTGCTTTGTGTGTGTGTGTGTGTGTGTGTGTGTGCGCGCGCGTGTGTGTGTGTGAGCGTGCGTGTGTCTGTCTCACGCGCGTGTAGGCGCACATGCGCATGCAGAATTGCAGCGAATTCGTGCAGCCGCATGCCAACGTTGGCAGGCCGACTCATCGCACCGGCCCGGTCTGGACCCAGGCGGCCGCGCCCTTGGCCGACCAAAGCCCACCTGCACCCAATCGCCCCCGCACGCGCCTCCTCCCCCCCACCCCTCCCGCCTCCAGGCGGGCAGTGGACGACCACTCAAAGGCGGTGGTGGCGGCCGCCGCTTGCCTGGAGGCCGCGGCGGCGGAAGGCGGGCGGCTCGACCCCGGGGGGCCGGCCCTCCAGTTTTCTGCGGAGTGGGGCGCCGACGCGGTGGCAGAGGTGGGCGGGGCGCAAAGCGGCAGGGTTGCAGGCGCCAGCGCCAGCGCTCCTCACGGCGCTGCACCTGCTCGGCTGCGAAACCATCGCTCGCTTGACAGTGTAGCCGACACGCTATCAGAGAGTGAATCCAAGTGTTGTCCTGAGCTGAGAATGGCTACGATCGCAGCCAAAGCTGGTGCACCTCGGCACGCCGACAGGCAGGCCGCCCGTCCGCGACCTGCCGACGCTGCTTCCCCTCTCCGCCACCTGCCAATTTTACCCCCCCCCCCCACAGGCCATGGAGACCGTCACCGCTGACGTCACCCAGCTCGCCCAGCAGCTTCCCGAGCTCGGCCTGCGCGACTGGGCGGCCGCGGCGACGGAGCAGGCGGTGCGCGGCCACGTGACGGCGGCGTTTGGCGCCCTGGAGGAGCGCGCGGGGCTGGCGGTGAAGGCGCTGCTGGCGCAGCTAGGGGACGGCCCGGACAAGCCCGGTGCGCGCGGAGCAGCGGCGGCGGCGACCGCTCTTGCGGCGGCGTCTGGCAGGCATGATGTGCGGTTGGCTCGCGGCTGCACGCGTGTCTTGACTCAGAGTCAAGGGGCGGGATCGAGCCATCGGCGCCCGTGTGCTTCTGGAAGCGTGCAGGCCGCGCGGCTGCTGATGTCTGCCCATGCACCCCTCCCCCTCCCATTCCGGAACCCCCACAGGAGCCGATGCGGCGGCACCCCTGGCGGACGCGTTTGCGTGCACCTCAGAGGCCATCCAGCGGTGCACCATGGCCATGCTGCAGGTGACCTTGAGACGCAGGTTGCAGGCCGCACGCGTGCCTGCCCCGGCTTGCCCTGCGGCGCACTGCCTGTTAGGGACAGGCCGCACTCCCGGAGCCTGCATCGCACGCACCCATCTGCGCTTGCCGTCTTGGTCCTTGTCAACCATGAATCTCAAGCGCGCACTGGGCCTGCACCCTCTGCCCAGGGCCTGCGCGCGTACCAGCAGCGCCACGCGGCCCTGGTGGGCCCCGTCCTGCCGCAGCTGGGCGACATCACGGCAGGACAGATGCAGGCGCTGCTGACGGGGCTGGTCGGCGGCTTCATGGCCCTGGGCCGCGTCAAGGTGCGTTTTGGGGGGGGGGGGGGACGCCAGCAGCTGCCTGGTTACAGGGGCGGAGCGCACACTGGCTGCTCTGATGGCACGTGTCTCCTCTCTTCTTGACACATTTCTAGTGATCATCAAGCGAGGCTTGGTTTGCTAGTTTCATGCAAGCTGGAATAAAAAACAAAATCAAAAGCAAGGGTGGTCTTAGGTTAGCTCCGCAAATATTTGGGTTGCGCGGCCACTTTCCCATCATAAACCCACAGGATGACGCGGTGTCTCTGCTGCGAGAGGGCGCGGCGGCCGCGCCCCCCTCAGGCCAAGAGCCCGGCGGCGCCGCGGCGCGCACGCGCGCATGGAGCGGCGCTGGTGCCAGCAGCGGCGAGCCCAAGACAGGTACGCGCTCTTCGCCGCCGCCGCGTCCCAGCTGCTTGCTTGGATCCGCTTGGCATGTGCATCCGTGCTGTTCGTGCACCACCCCTGGCCAACTCTCTCCCCTGACACGCTGCGGCGCGTACGGCGCCCGCAGGCCTGCTGCTGCTCCTGGCCAAGCTGTGCCTGTTCATGGAGTCCGCCACGGTGCCCGCCGTGATGGAGGAGCTCGCGATGAACTTCCCGCCCCAGTCCGGGGACCCGGACCAGCCGCCGCCCTTCCTGGCCGGCGAGGTCGCGCGCCGCATGGGCACCGCCGCGCAGCTGCTGCTGGCGGCGTACGTGGAGGCGCACGGGCGCGCGCTGGCGCTGGCGGTCGGGCGCAGCAGCGGCGCCACCAACTGGCTGGACGCGTCAGAGCCCAGGTGACCGCGCGGGCTGCGCGCCTTTGGGCGCCCCGAGGTGTCGCAGGGGGTGGGGTTGGGGCGGTGCGCGGCGTGGCGTCCGGCAGCCGTTGCAGGATGGGGAGCCGTGGCGCTCGGCGGCGCTCTCCTGCCGCCATTATCCAACGTGGACCATGTGGGGTCAGGCTACTTGCATGCATGGCCCCCGCGCATGCTTGCCGCGGCGCAGGCCAGGCACCGCCCATGCGCACCCTTGAGGCACCACTTCCCCTCGATCCGCCCCCCCCCCCTTCCCGCCAACACCCCCCTCTCCGTGTGTCATCTTCAAGGGCGCCGCGCCCGGTGTGTGACCTGCTGCTGGAGCGGCTGGGCCGCGCGGAGGCCGAGGTTGAGCGGCTGGTGGAGGCCAGCGGCGGCCGCGTGCAAGGTGCGAGGCTCGGGCCCCCCTGTCGCGTCCCTCGTCGGTAGCCCGACCCCGCCTCCCCTCTCGATGAGTCTTGGCGCCCCTCCTGCAGAGCCCACGACTGCTGTAAACATGCAGCAGGTGTTGCTCAGGTCAGGAAACGTGCCCCCTTGCTTCTGAATCTTCGCAACGGCCCTGTCCTGTCCTGAACCTTACACCCTCAACCCTAAAAATTCACAACGGGTCCACGCCCAGGCCCCGCTGACGCCTTGCGGAAGGACGGCGCCGGCCACCACCGTGGCGGCGGCAGCAGCGTGTCGGACCGCGACCCGGGGTACGCCCTGGGCAGCGTGGCGGTCGAGAGGGGCGTGGCGCGGCTGTTCAGGGCGCGTACCAAGATCACGGGGACCGTGAAGTTCACGCAGGTGGGGTGGGCCGGCAGATTCACGCTTTTTTGGACCCCTCCTCATGGGGCTGTGTGGGCGGATCGCGGCGTACAGCTCAGACGCCTGGGTGCTGCCCTGCCTCAGACTATAAAAGTTATCGAGATCAATCGTTCATATGTGCAGCCTAATGGTGGCATGGTTTTGGGCCGAGATGGTCCCCCAGGAACGCCAACTCGCCCGCTCTTCTCGTGCCCTTGTTTGCGCCAGGCCGCCCTCCTGGGGGCGATCGCCGCCTCCGGCCTCAAGTCCCTGGCCGAGAGCGTGCGCCTTCAGACCCTAGGCCGCGCTGGCCTGCAGCAGCTGCAGCTCGACGCCGCCTACCTCCGCCCCCGCCTGCTGCGCCTTGCGGGCGGCGGCGGCGGCGGCGGCGCGGAGGGCGTGGCCCAGCTGGTTGACGAGGTGGTGGCTGCGGGGGCGGAGCGCGCGGTGGAGGCGGGGCAGCTGCTGGACCAGGCGGCGCTGGACAGGATACTGGCCGCAGCGGGAGAGGGCGGCGCGGCGTGAGGTCGACGACACGCACTGGGGCAGGGGGAGAGGGCCGGGGGGCGGCGCTTGCTGCCCCCAAGCCTCGCTCGTGCGCGAGTTTCTGGGTGCATGGGCGCCTAGGTGTTGCACTGGGCACGCTCCTTGCTGCTCTTCAAGGTCCATTGCCGCTCTCTTATGGCGGTCGCCTATGCAGCTGTAGTCCCGTGTGACCTGGTACTTTCCCTTGCAGCTCAGGTCTAGATTGGGGTGCCAACCCACAAACAGCTGCAGGAAGCCAGCCCCTGCGTGAAGTGCCGTCCATGATTGCAGGCGTTGCTCTTGTCTTTCACTGCTGTGACTCGGTCATCGCTTTCACCTGGCATTAAGAGTAACGGAGCTCGCCCTCGCAACCTTGCGCCTCCCCCCCCTCAGTGATGCACCTTAACTGTGCCAGAACATGGCACAGTTAAGCACAGCTGCCGCGCCTTGCAAGTCATGCACGCCGGGCTTAGATCCAACCTCGACGACGGGCCCAGGCTCGTGTTACTTCCTTGCGCCTACAGCCTAAATACTGTGTGCGCAGCGCACAGACGGGAGGGTCGCGCTTGTTGACGGCTCAGAGGGCGGGGTCGTCCGCCCACACGCCCCCGTCGCCCCCTGCAGTTGCGCCGCCCCCTCCGCCGTCCAAATGAGCCCGCAAGTCGTCAATCTCCTCAGGCTCGTCCCTCTTCCCGGCCGCAGCCCTCTCCCCATCCCCGCCATCCCCGTCGCCAAGTCTCGGTATGGAGTTGCGCCGTAGCGTCATCAGGAACGGCCCGTCAATCCACCTGCGGGGTCACGCAAGGGTGCACACGGCCAGGTATGACGCAGGGCGCGGCGGCCTGCCGGGGACGGGGCCGTTTCTTTTCGCCGCAACCCGCGAATGCACCAGCTTTTCAAAAATTTCATGTTGCGCAAAGCGGCGCACCGAAGCTAATTAGTTACATTCTGCATAATCAATAAGAGACAGCCGCCGCGACTGCCGGCCCCACGACCCATGGGCCCCGCCAAGGTGGGCAGGGCAGGCGAGAGCACAAGCACGCCACACATACATGCACATATACATGCACACGCACCCTGTGGCAGGGTCACCGGGTAAAGCACCCCACCCCTGGCCGAACAGCTGGCGCTGCGGCAAGACATAAAGCAGGCGCAACTTGGCCTCCACGGGGTGGAAACAAGTGGTGTTCAAGCGGATGGAAGGTCTACCTCATCTTGCTGCCCAGGCTGTGCAAGCCAAAGGCCAAGCACGGTACAGTACCATACTCCAGCCCATAGGGCCCACGGCATGTTTCATTCGTGCAGGCCACTACGAAGAAATCATTGTACACGAGTAGCCTTTGCCGTCTCGCTGCGGACGGTCTGCAGAGAACCCCGGGTGCTGCAAACCGCTCGCAACTCAAAAAAGCCGAGAGCGTTCGAAGAGATGGTGCGCGCACACTTCGTTGCTCGAGACGAGAAAAGCAGCATGTTCGGGTTTAGAATTGCATGAAGAGGGGTTCATTGCATCGCAGGTTGCTCATCGTGGCGGAGACAACCGTGGCGGAGAGGTTTCAGCCGTCAAGTCCATATGGAGGCGTCTGTGGTTCGATCCCTGGTGGAGCTGGCGGAGCTGGTGGCGTGGCTTTCCCTCCGTGTGCCGCAGAACACGGGAAATCCCCCTCTGGTGAACCCAACTTGCTGCGGCGGGTTGGGGGTAATGAGGGCCCAACCCCCGGCGCTGCAGGAACAAGGGTTGAGGATCAGGTTGGCGACCTGAAATAAAGCCCAAGGCTTGGCTGTGTGCCTCGCCCGTGGCTTCTTTTGTTGTTTATATATTATGAAATAGTGCCGCCCCTTCAAACTGTGCGTGCTTGCAACAAGCGTATTTTTTCCAACTGAAATCAGGCTAGTATCACGCTGACAACAAAGCAAAAGCAACCTCTACAGGGTAAGTGTTTTGCGCACCCTGCAGCTGCGCCCCAAACCACCGGAGCTGCCACTACCTGAGGGGTTCTTGAGACATATCAAACAAGTGTGTTGCACACAGTTGGTAATAATAACATGGAAGCATAACAGCCAACATTATGTTGGGGTCGTTTGTGGCTGGGTTTGCTGGAGAGCCCCAATTCGTTGAAGGTGCAGACACCCCAGCGTTTATCAGGCCAATGATTGTGGCACATCCAGCTGGTGCTTGCGGTGTTACCGCATCTTCTCCCCAGCACGCCTGTTCTCCATTGCACAACATTCCACCTTGCCTCAACAGGCTGATTTCAGCGCACATGAAAACAGCTGTGAATTGTCGTTAAGTGTAGCCGGCGCGGTCAGTGGAGTGCAGGTGGAGTGCAGCCTTGTGCGAGGTGTGTGGCGGCGTCCTGGTGGCGCTTGTCTAGCAGGTACGTGGGCGATGCAGGTTTGTTGAATACAGCTCCGCAATTGTGTCACGCGTTTAAACTCATTCTATTCAAGTCGCAACAGTCGGCCGATCGAAGTGATCTCGCGTTGAAATCGCCTCTAGGGAGCCCCCTGTCAGCCGTCATGGACGCGCTGACGGGCCTTGTGGCTCATATAGTTGAGCTCAAGAAGAAGCAGGCGGACCCAGTGGCCATCCAAGACGCCTGCCGCGCTGGCACTGTCGCGCTGCTGCGCGCGCGCCAGGAGCATCGTGCAGGTGTGCTGGGCGCAGCCCCACCCCGCGATGCCGCCTCTAGGGCCGAAACCCACTGCTTGTCCCCGAAGCGGCGCCAGGCATGCACACCCCGCGCTCACGCGGCGCCCCCGCCCCCGCGCCCGCCCGCGCCGCAGCCGCCCTCTCCGGCGAGGCGGCGCGCGAGCGCGCCGCGGCCGCCAAGGCCGGCCTCGACGCCGCGGTGCTGCGCCTCAACAGCCTCCTGTATGAGAAGCAGTTCTACGTCCGCGAGATCGCCGCATGCACCAGCTACCGCAGCGCATACCCGGATGAGGAGATCCAGCTGCCGCCGCTAGAGGCAGAGGCCCTCGCCGGCGCAGGCGCGGTTGCGGGCAGAGCGCAGCTAGCCCCGCACGCGCTGATGCTGTCGCGCCTCACGGCGGAGCTCAACGCGCGCAAGGCGCTCGGCGACGCGCTGAAGAGCGCGCGCGCGGAGCGGCAGCGCGAGGCGGGCCGCGCGGCGGCGGACAAGGCGCGGCTCTCGGCGCTCAAGGCGCCGCTGCGCGGGCTGGAGCAGGCGGGGGGCCCCCTGCTGGACGTGCTGGGGCCGCGGCTGCAGCTGCGCGCGCCGGAACGAGCGGCGACGCTGCTGCCGGCGCCGTTGTGGGCCATCAATTATCAGTTTGCAGCGGCGCGCGACGCGCTGGGACTGCCCATTGGTGTTCGGCTCGAGGGGGATGCGGCAGAGGCAGCTGCCCGGCTCGCGGCGGCAGGGGCCGGCGCGCCAGGCGCTCGGGGCGGCGATAGCGGCAGCGGCGGCGGGGAGGTGGCGCAGGGGCCAGCGAGCAAGCGGCGGCGGCAGGAGGAGGCGGCTGGGGTTCTGTATGAGGTGAGCGCTCGTGTTGATTGGTCGCAGCAGAAAGCAGCTGACAGGGCTAGTGATCATGAATGGGGCTGAAACAGCATTGAGTACGCCTCGTGTGACGTGGGCTCTAGCATTGACCCATGGCATGCCCTGCTGCTGCTGCTGCTGCTGCTGCTGCTGCTGCTGCTGCTGCTGCTACTGCTGCTGCTGCTGCTGCTGCTGCTGCTGCTGCTGCGACGGCTGCGGCGCTCGCGCGTACGCAAATCGCAGGTGCACCCGCTGTCGGTGGTGGTGTCCCTCCTGAGCAGCCGGCAGCCGCAGGGACAGCAGCAGCAGCCGCTGCTCGAGGTCCGATTCGACTATTACCAGAGGCCGGGCCTCGTGGGCGCCTGCTGCTGCGGCGGCAGCGGCGGCGGCGCGGGCGGCGGGGCTGCGCTGCTGAGCGCCCTCTTCCCCGGCGATGAGGGGGATGGCGAGGTGGGGCGGCTGGCGGGTCTCATGCTGGACGCGCAGCTGAAGGGCATCCGCGTGCCCCGCCCCGCATGCCCTGCTTGGGGCAAGCCACGGTGTCGCTCGGGCCCGCGGCGGCCCTGCGGCCCGCTGCTCCGCAATCGGCCCTCCTGTCTCCCTGCGTGGCGCCTCCACCACTTTGTGAGCCCCCACCAACGTGACTTCTCATCCCAAACATCACTCCCCAGGGCTACGAGGTCCTGGCGCAGCTGGCGGGGCCGGGGCCCTACCAGTTTGGCAGCGCGGCAGCGCCGGCCCGTCCCTTCCGGTGCGGCCGCCTAGCCCCGTGCCCCACCCACCGGCTTCCGCTGCGGTGCAGCTTTCTGGGCTGCAGCAGCTGCTTGCATAGCCACTGCCAGCGATCCCTCCCCCCGGCTCCTCTGCGCCCAGCGCCTCACATCAGCCCTCAGGCCCTTTTTGTTGCCCAGCACTCCTGTGGGCAAACCCAGCCACACAATCGCATGCTCACACACCCATGCGCACCCCCCCACTCAAACACACACGATGCCGTATCACTTTGGCTTTTCAGGTGGGCGCAGGACCTGGCAGGGGTGGATGTTATCCCCTCGCTGCCGCCAGCCACATCGCCGGCTGCGGAGCAGCAGGCGGTGGCGGCGACGCTCGACGCGCTCGCGGCTCACAGAAGGCAGCAGCGCATTCAGGCAAGCTCCCAAGTCCGTGCGTGCGCGAGGGCGTGCCGGGGGCCTTACTGGGGCTTGCTTGCACCCACATAAGGGCAGCACGTGCGTAGTGTCACCCTTCAACAGAACAGGAACACCGCATCCCGCAGGCTCTAGTGGAGAGGCTGCAGGAGGTGGCGGCGGGATGAGGCCGCCCGCGCCTGGACCGGCGCGACAGGACGGATCTGGCTGAGTGGACGAGCCACAGATGCTGCCAGCCGCCCCAACGGCTGCGCTCATTTAATGGGGCCGCGCGCCATGTAACACATTTGCAGCTTTGATGGGCTGCTGCGGCCGCTTTTGCGGCCGGCATTGATCGGACCTCATTGACTGTGAAAGGGAGCCGCACTCTCAGCCAAGGTTACATGCATATGGGCATGAAACTGTATGGTGATCTTGACTGACTATTGTTCAATGTGGTGAGAGAAACGACACAGCAGGCCCTGGTCAATTGTGTGATGTCAGAGCATTACGATGTGCACCGGGGGCATAAACACCCACAGCTGATTGCGTAGGTTGCACTGCGCCCAATGACTTGCGACAACAGCCAGGCCAATCTGGGTGACAAACGCTCACTCATAGGAAAGAACAGCTAACAAAAGCATATGAGCGTAAGCTGCAGCCTGTGCCTCTCTCAAGGGTACAAACACGCGTGTCCAGTCATCCGCCCTACGCCGCCGCTGGCCGCAGGCTGTCGATCAGCCAGTTCAAATGCGCCCGCAGCTGCCGCGCCGCCGGCATCCGCATGTCCCTCGGCACCCCGACCCTGTCCCGCAGGTACTCAGCAGCCGCAAACACGTCGGACCCCTGGAAGCTGCCCGGCCAGCTGGCCCCGCCCTCCGCGACCAGCAGGGCGTGGTCCTTGGACAGCTGCTTCGCCTCAACCCCCGCCAGCAGCGCGTGCACCACGTGCCGCAGCGCAGCGTCGACCGCAGGCGCGGGCGCGTCGGCGGGGACGGCGGTCGGGTCCGCGAGCGGCGCGCTGACGGGGCGCGCGCCGGGGCGGCCGGGGCCGCGGAGGGCGAAGCGCACGATCGGCTTGTGGTTCGCGACCTGTGGGGGGTCAAGTGACGACGAGTGTGTCAAGAGTTGAGGTTGGTGTGGTTGGCGCTGAGTCTCTCGTGGTGGTAGCTGTGAACAAATCAGGTGAAAAGACAAGGGGACAGGCAGGGCGGCAGGGAGGCAGGCAGGCAGGCAAACAAGCAGGCAGGCAGGCAGGCAGGCAGGCGCAATTGTGGCGCAGTTGCGGGCAGGCCCTGTCGCAAGCAACGGCCGGCATCAGGTCTTGCGGCCGCAACACCCACCATGCGCGCCGCCGCCTCCAGCCGGTCGGCCGGCGGGTTCTCCGGGACAGAGTACGGCTCCGGCAGCGCCGCCGGCCCGAGGGGCGCCAGGGGCAGGCGCCAGCTGCTGCCGTCCTGGCCGTCGATGGCGGCCGCCCAGGGCTCCCCGGCGTCGCTCATGTAGCAGCCTGCGGGGCCCACATAACGGCGATAGCAAACATGCTTTGTTGGCACGCACAGGGCTGCAGGACGGTGCCAGGCGACCGCGCCGAGCGTTGCACGCGTGGGGCTTGCCCAGGCCGCAACGACGGACGACACGGTGTGCTTTGTCGGCACAGACAGGGCTGCCGACGCAGCAGCCGTGCGCCTTTGGCTCGAGCGATGCGCGCGGTTATCAAACCAAGCGCCACGTACGACAGGACGAGAGGCGCGTGCGGGAGTTGAGCGTGAGCGCACCTCCCAGCTGCGGCGGCAGGTCGTGGCAGTGGGTGTAGTGGTCGCTGCGGGTGCCGAGGTAGGTGGGGCGCGCCTCCATCGCCTCAAACCACCGCTCCACCGCCGGCCACTGGCCTGAAGACAAGAGGCGTGGAGGGAGGAAGATAGGGGCGTTGTGTGTCAGGCGTCAGCAAGTCAAACGGGTGCGCCTGCCAAAGGTGGAGGAGGCTGGAGGTGGGGGGTGTTTTCAGGATAAGCTGCCGGCATGGCTCGCACAAGGGCAGCCCGGCCGGCGCCGGGGCGTGCACGCACGGCCACCCTCCCCCAGGTGCAAACGGCTGGTTTGCGTGCGCCGTCCCCAAACAGCCACCCGTGTCGGTCGCGCCGCACCCACCCTTGCCGCGGATGAAGAACCCCTTGTAGTAGGCGAGGCTGGCGTTGGCGCGCTCCAGCATGGGTGCAAAGGTGATGTCCACCAGGCTGATGTCAGCGCCCAGGAAGAAGGGGCCCTGCCGGGTGGGCGGGTGGTTTGTTTTGGGAAGGAGGGTGGAGGCCGCCAGCACAGTGAGTTGATTGCGCGCGCATAGGTCGGGACTTCAGCAACACGTGGTTTTTGAGGCCAGGGAGGAATGCCGAGGGCGGCAATCCAAGAGCGGGGTGGGAGCAGGGGCTCAGGGGGTAGCCAGGGCTGCGGGGCCGCGCAAAACAGTGCGCCTCGCCGCGGCAGGCGGCCTGCCGTGCGTCCCAGCTGGTGCATGGCAAGCCAACCTCAGAATGGCTAAGCCTGTGAGCACAAAGTACAGGAAGCGAAATGGGTCCGTTGATATTTGCACAGACCGGCCCCCCTCACCCCCTCGGCCTGCAGTGCCTCTGCCACGGCGTCCATGGTGCGCTCAAAGCCCGCCTGCGCCGCAGGCTGGCCCCAGCCGCTGCACAGCCACTGCACGGCGGAGGGCGCAGCCAGGGGGATTGAATGTCAGTGATGCCCTTTTGGCAGCAACGCCGTGCGCTATATAATGCCCCACCATTGCCAGGAATCTGCCAAACTCACCAGTTTGGAGATTACACCCCCTCGAACCCTTCTTGTCGCCTCATGCACCTGTCCAACTTCCCAATTTCGTCCGCTACCCTCTGTCATCCACACAAACTCAGGAGAATCCCACCCACCTCGAGCCACGTCCCAAAGAACCTCCTCTCCAGCCGCATCAGCGCCTCCGCGCGCGCGCGCGCTTCGCTGCCCTTTGGCGGCAGCAGGGGCTTGTGGTCCGGGAAGGCGTCCTCCAGCAGGCCCATGATGACACTGGACTCGGTCACGACGCGGCCGTCGATCTCCAGCACGGGCAGCAGGCCGTTGGGGACCTGAGTGGGCCCGGTGGCGCGGTGCGGTGTAGCAGGGGTTGTTAATCACGCAGCTTGCTGCGCTGTTGTTGATTGGGCAGCTAAGGCCACGTTCCATCCTTGATTGGTGGCGTTGAAAATTGGGGAAGGGAGGATGGGGATGGGGGTTTGTGAGAGGTGCCTTGGCAAGAGATGGGAACAAAGTGGTTGGGTGAAGGTCGGTCGGAGCGGGACGTGAAGTGGTGGAGGGTGATTTGAGTGGGGTGTTCAACTGAACGGGAAAATTAGTGGTAGTTGATGAGCGCGTTTGAGGGACGGATTGGGTCGCCGGCGGTCAAGTAGACGACACGATTTGCCGGGCGCCGCTGCCGGTCGTCATTGCATGCTGCAACGAAAGAACGAAAGGCTTTGGCCCCCACCTTGGCCATGAAGGAAGCCGGCTTGTCGCCGTAGCAGCGCATGTTGATCTTCTCAATCACTGATTGAGGCAGTTGAGGCAGTTGAGGCGGTTGAGAATGAGGAGGGGGTCGAGGGGCGGCACAATTGGGAAGGGAGGGGTGCGGGCGCGGTCAAGTGGGCGTAATCTTTGGCTAGCCCAGCAATCGGTGCCTTCCAGGTGCAGTCTGCGGGCAGGGCGCCCCTCAGCGGCACGCGGACTGCATGTGAGGCCGCCTTGTGTTCACAGACTCATAATGCGGCCTGGGGCGCATTGATTATGCGGCGCATCAACGCCGCGGCCCGCCATCTGCCGCACCATAGGGGATCCTCTTCTCCTCGAGCTGCAGCCAGACCTGCCCGGGAAGGTTTGAGGCGGCCGGAGGGCGTGCGCGGGTGATGGCAGTAATGCACACAAGGTCCCAAGTGCTCACCGCTCCCGCCACCCACACCTCAGCCCCTCTGAGCCAACAAGCTGACACGCAACTGCCGGCCGCGCCTGCCGCTGATATGTACCATGACCAGGACAATGGTCGCACAGCACATAGCACACAGAGCAGCACCCATCCAGCAATCATGGCCCGACCAACCTTCTGGCAGTACGGGCACCACGCCGCATGGTCACGGTACAGCTTCACGCGGATGGGCTCGCTGCTGCCAAACGTACGCTTCAGGGCCAGCGGGTGGGTCGGGCCCTGGGGAAAGGCGGAGGACGGGGCGCCCAGGAGGGGGTAGTTGGGGGACGTCACGAAGCCCACATGTGCCCGCACGCAGGCCAGCAACTGCAGCTGCCGCGCGTCCCTCTGCACTGCGCCTGCGTTTGCTATTGATTTGCTGCTCCGTGCGGTAGTCTTGACAGCCGCGCAGTAGGTGCTGCCGCGGCAAGATGACACCCCAGAGGGCCAGCCCAGGCGTACAACAGTCGGGCGCCCACATTGTCCAGGTCTGGAGCCAGGAAGTTGACGCCGTGCTCGCGCTCCTGCGCCCTGACAATCTCCTCGAGCTGCTCCCAGCTGGGCGCGGTGTCAGAGAAGGACAGCACGGCGCCGGCCGCCGGGGAGGCCGCGCTGCCAGCCTGCGGACGGGGCGGAGCCGTGCAGCGCGTGAGGTGAGGTGCGACGTTGGCCGCAAGCTCACAGCTCGCGCACATGCAGCTGTCGACGTCGGCGCTATGCGTGCAATGCTTTGGTGCACAGCTGATCGACGATGCCGCCTTGCAGCCACCCACCTGTCCAAGCGCCTTCTTCAGGCCTGAAAGCATCGCGCCGATGTCCCCCGCACGTGCCGCCACGCCGCTGGTCAGGCCTCGCTGCTGCGCGGGCACCACTGATTTGAAGTCTCTGTGACTGGTGATAATCGCCCTACACGCTGCACTTCGCGGAGCCGAGTTTGTGGCGAGGGATAGCCCGCGCTGAGCGATCATTGAGCGCATGGCGGGAGCTGAATATGTTGAGTTGATAGTGCAAGTGCACAAACGGCGTAGCACATTGTGCACAAACGGGCTCCACGTCGATCTCACTCGCCCGAAGTAACTCGAGCCAGCCTTGGTGCAGAATGTCACGCCCAGGCACAAGGACAATTGACAGGCTTATGGAATAAGTAATCAGGTGATCTCTCTCTGAACTCCGCGCGATTTGATCTGATTTGATCTGACGCGCGACGCCCTGGCCGCGATGTATCCCGGTCCTGGACAATACAGGTATGTTTTGCATGTATATATGTGCGTGAGGTGAAGCAGTGTCTCGCGTAATCCAGGAGCGATGCGTCCCCGCACAAGCAGTGCATGAACATTGCAGTATGCAGTGCCGCGTCTCACAACTGCCCAAAATGAAGGAAGCATCCACACTGGATACCCTTGGCATTCACACAATGCTGACTCAACGAACGATGGGCCCTGATTATAGGTCGCAAGCCAGGCCAGGGGCAGGGGGCTGGCCGCCCCACATGCAAGGCGGCCACACAGGTGCATCGGCGACGCTGCCAGTCAGCGGCGTGGGCAGCAGTTGGCAGGCTGCGGGAGGCGCATCAGGCACGCAGGGAGGCGGCTACTATGGCCAGCAGCAGCAGCAGGAGCAGCAGCAAGCAGGCGGCCGGCCACGAAATCAGCCACAGAATCGGCACGGCAACGGGCAGGCCTGGCCCGCCGCTCAGCCAACGCCTCGGCATGCGCCCGCTCAAACGCACATGACAACGCCCGCAGCGAACGCTGCAGCCATGCAACCGGCTGGGCAGCACCTGCAGCAGCATCAACAGCAACAGCAACAGCAGCAGCAGCAGCAGCAGCAGCAGCAGAAGCAGCAGCAGCAGCAGCAGCAGCAACAACAACGGCAGCAGCCGCGGGCACCTGCCGCAAACGTAAATTACTTAGACCGCGTGAAAGCTACTTGCAGCATGCTCGGGATGGGAAGCGGCCCCCAGAACAATGCAGCCGCGGCGCAGCAGTCTGCGCTTGCCCACATTATTAGTGGCAGTGCATTCCACGAGAACCCTTTTGCAGACTCGGTTGAGGCGTACGTGCTGGCGTGCAAGCAGCAGCAGCAAGCGCAGCAGCAGCAAGCGCAGCAGCAGCAAGCGCAGCAGCAGCCACAGCCGCAGCAGCAGTAGCAACGAGCAGCAGTGGCAGCAGCCGCGGCAGCAGCAGCAGCAGCGGCAGTAGCAGGGGCAGCAGCAGGCAATCGCACATGACAGGCAGCTATGGGGATCTAGGGTAGGAGCGGGAGGCCGAAATCTGAAATCCTATCCATCCTCATCAGTGTGGGCGTCCCAGGTCCTGCCAGCCCGATGAGTGCCCCCCACCAGCATAGCGCGCTTGTTGATGACCCAATGTCCAAGTCTTCAGCTGGCTTTTTTTGGTTCATCTTGATTTCACTTGCCAACCCGGCGCCCCACGAGTTCCTTGGAGCCCTGTTTTCGTGAGATGCGATCAGGGCTTACAGTGTGTGATGCGAGCAGGCCCCAGAATAAAATGCATTTTGTAACTCGCACAGGCTGAGACGCAGAGGGGCTGCCCTTGCAACGGGTGAAGGGGGAGAAACAGCCACCTCGCCAACACAGCCATTGGTGCGTTTTGCAATTCTCACACATCAAGCAAAGTCAAGTTGCCACCCGTGCCTAGGGTGACTTTCTGACAGCAAGGTCGGGGTTTAAGAGCTGCAAAGCAGTGATACAGCTGTGCATGCGCCTCCACCAGGGTGCATGGAGTATAGCTTGCGGAAAGGCAAATGGCGAGAGACGCCGGCCACTCTCAGGCCCTTCATCGGTTGATGATTGCTCTAGGCGGCCCGCAGCGGCCAAAATTGGAGGCCAAGATGCGCCCCCGGAAGCCGCGCAGGCAGCGGCCCGCAGGGGCCGTGCGTGCGGCGATGCTCGTGATGCAAGGCACGAGCTCGTGCCCAAACAACAAAGAAGCCTGTTTCAGTGCGCACGCCGCTGGAAAGGAGCTCAGTCGCCAGCAGGATGATGCCGGTCTCAGCAAAGAAACCCAGGACCGCGCGCACCCACAAACACACATGCGTACCAGTGTACAACCCCACAACGCGGCACACAGGCGCCGCACCCTCGTCAGGTCGTCGGGACGCGTCATGCGGCCATGTCAGCACCAGGTCGGAGGTCACCCCAGGTCACTTGCCGCGCAGGTCCACCAGCTGCTGCACCACGCTGGGGTCCGCCAGGGTGGAGATGTCCCCCAGCTGGTCCTCCTCCTTGGACGCGATCTTGCGCAGCACGCGGCGCATGATCTTGCCGCTGCGGGTCTTGGGCAGCCCGGGGGCCTGGGGGCGGTTGGGGGCAGGCGCGGGGGCGATGCGTTGAGAGGTTATGCGAAAGATCAAGGGCTGAGGGGTGGGGATGAGACTAGCATGCACTAGATCCACAAGGCATGGGTGCAGCGCAAGGCGGGTAAAACCCAGTCAAGAGGTTTCCATGGACGGAGGGCGCAGGCATGTCAGGTGCCGTTAAAGCTCACCCAGTGGATGGCGTCGGGGGCAGCGAATGCGCCGATGTGGCTGCGCACGCTCGCGATCAGCTCGCGCCGCAGGTCCTCTGTGTATGACTCACCCTGGGAGGGGGGAGAGAGAGTTTGTAACGTTGTGAGCAAGGAGCAGCGCCTCAAGTGATGCCTTCCAGCAAACACATATAGCAGAGCGCGTCCAGCCGCCAGCCAAGGCACGCGGCACTCTGACTGCAGCCCTGGGGAGCCGCTCAGGCCCAGGCATCTCTGCCCATGTGCGACTGCTCCCTTTGAGCGCCGCTGAGAGAGGCCCGCTCCCACACCCTTGGCCCACCTCCATGAGAGTGACAAACGCGTAGATGCCCTGGCCCTTGATGGCGTGCTCAAAACCCACCACGGCCGCCTCCGCGCACTTGGGGTGCGCGACCAGCGCGGACTCGACCTCGGCGGTGCCGATCCTGTGGCCGGACACGTTGATGACGTCATCGACGCGGCCGGTGATCCAGAAGTAGCCGTCCTTGTCGCGGCGCGCGCCGTCGCCCGAGAAGTAGTAGCCGGGGAAGGGCTTGAAGTAGTTGGTCTCATACCTGGGGTTTTCCAAACAGACAAGTAGCGCAGGGGCGGGGTGGGTTGGTGAGGGCACTGTTGATAGGGGTCGGCACGAGGCCACAGGCTGTGCGCGCGTGCAAGCAGCAATGCTTTGGAACTCCATGTGCGGCCAGTCGTAACGTGCTCCACGCAATATCTGCAGGTGTTTCAGCCGAGGCAGGCCGTTTGCTGGGCGGCGCCGTGCTGGGGAGGGAGGCCCCGGGTAGGGAGGCCCCGGGTGTCGGTGCCCTGCACCTGTCGTGGTCCCCGTACACGGTGCGCAGGGTGCTGGGCCAGGCCTGCTTGATGCACAGCATGCCCTCCGCCTCCCCCTGCAGCTCGTTGGCCTTGTCGTCCACAATCACGGGGACCACGCCTGGGTCGGGGGGCAGACGAATTTGGGAAAATGTTCACGCGCATGTGGCTGTGGTTGTGCGTGGCGCTGTCGCGTCCGGGCTATTGCAGACATGGCATAAATCGCTTGCGGGGACGAAAGTAGCATGCGAGCGTGCGCAGGATGTGGGTGGTCAGGGGCAGGCCGCGCCGGGAGGCGGAGGAGCGCCCACCGAAGAAGGGCAGGGTGGCGCTGCCGGGCTTCTGCTGCCACGTGTTGGGCAGGGGCGTGATCATGTGGCCGCCGGTCTCGGTCTGCCACCATGTGTCAACAATGGGACACCTGCCGTCACCCACCACGTCGTGGTACCTGCAAAGGGGACGCGTTGGAAACGTTCAGGCCACAGCGATTTTGCTGACAGGCGGGCGTTCCCTCATCATGTCAAAGGAACCCCTTCAGATGCAGGCTTGGGCGTCGGCACCAAGTCGTCAAAAGGACAGCGCCTGCTCGCTGCAACTGCATGTGATGGACTGCCATAAAAGCGTGCGTCGCGGCAAGGGCAAGGGAGGCGACCCACCAGCGCCAGGCCTCGGGGTTGATGGGCTCCCCCACGCTGCCGAGGATGCGCAGGCTGTCGCGGTTGTGCTCCTTGACGTACAGCTCCCCCGCGCGCATGAGGCTGCGGATGGCGGTGGGGGCCGTGTAGAACTGCTTCACCTGTGATTTTGACAGGGTGGTGCAACGGGATTTGAAGCATGTTGCAGCAGGGAAGATAACGAGGATCGACTGGACGAGAATTGAGCGGATATCATAACTTTGCACCTGATTCCGTCTCCTCCCAGAAGTCAGCACAGCAGCGCTGATGTGTTGCAACAGTTATTTGCGCTCCCCAGCTCCCAACAATCCCTGTCAAAGCCCACCTTGTACTTGTCGACCACCTGCCAGCAACGGTCAGCGGCGGGGTAGGTGGGGACGCCCTCAAACACCACCTGGCTTGCGCCCACCAGCAGGGGGCCGTATGTCAGGTAGGAGTGGCCCGTGATCCAGCCACAGTCCGCGGTACACCTGGCGCGGGAATTCCAAGTTGGGGCGAGGCCAGGCCGGGATGTGGTTCAGGGCGTGGTGGGGTGGAGTTTTTTTTGGGGGGGGGGGGCGTGCAGCGGCCAAGGGAACGGGCGCAGGCGGCCGCCCTCCGGGGCGCAAGGGACGGTCGTGGTTGCGGTGGCCAGCTGATGGCGCAGTGTGCGCAGATTGTGCACGGCAGCACAAGCCGTTCGCCCCCGGTCATGTGTGGCGCGGCTCACCAGTAGACGTCCCCTGGTGCCATGTTGAAGACGTACTTTGTGGTGGTGAAGGTGTACACCATGTAGCCCCCGGTGCAGTGCACCACACCCTTGGGCTTGCCTGGCCGCCAGAACGAGGGGACAGGGGGGGAGGGGCTGGTGGGTGGGCTGCGTATCCCCGGGAGTTGGGGCCGTCGAGCTCGCACGCCCTCACAAAGCCGCAAGTGTGGCAATTCAGAGGGTCTGCTAGGGCCGGCAAATTATTATTATTGCAACGTGGCGGCCGGGCTGCTGCTGCAATATGAGCTGATGATGCATCAGTCAAAGCGGCGACCGCCGTCTCACCGGTCGACCCCGAGGTATAGAGCAGGAAGAGGGGGTGGTCCGCCTCCACCCACTCCACCTCGGCCTCAGTGGGCTGGCCCCTGAGCGCGTCCTCCCACCAGACGTCGCGGCCCTGCACAAAGTGCGTGTGCTCGCGAGTAACGGCGTGCTTCACCTCCTGTACCACCACGGTGGAGACCTGGGGTTGATGGGGGCAGGCACAGCGGGTTGTATGGGGTCAGAAAGGGGTGTTGTGGCCCGCTGGCGTGTGACGGGTGCATTGCAAAAGCACCCGGTTCTTGCAAAACCACACATCTCATGTTGCAGAGCCGACTCCGCTCCAAATGCACGCCTGCTTGCTTGCTGGACACGTGTGCTCGTCACTCGGACACAGCGCATTGACAGGTGCCGCGGCCCCTTGAAATCAACCCGCGGCCGCCCACCAGGTGCTCGTCGTTGAGCTCCGCCATCTCCACCGCCTTGTCAGCGATGGCCTTGAGGTCGATCTTCTTGCTGCCCCGCATCACGCCGGACGAGGTGATCAGCACCTTCGCCTTGCAGTCGGCGATGCGGCCTGCGGGCGGGGGGTGGGGTGTGTTGAGAACAGGGCTGTTAAGAGCAGGGAGCCACTGTAGTGGCGTCAGCGCTACCAACCTTGAGAGCGCGGGGTTGCACCCCAAGAGGCAGCCGGCGGCACACAGGCACACGACGACAATGGCAGCGGGGAGCCGCGATGGGGCTTGCAGCGGCGCTCACCCGCGAGCGCCTCGGCGCTGAAGCCGCCAAATACGACCGAGTGGACGGCCCCGATGCGCGCGCAGGCGAGCATGGCGATCGGCAGCTCGCAGACCATGGGCATGTAGATGGACACCGCGTCGCCCTTGCCCACGCCGATGGAGCGCAGGTAGTTGGCCATCCTGCACACCTCCCCCAAGACCTGGGGGTTGTCAGGGATGTTGGGGTTGCCAAGGATGGGAAGACGCCCAGTCAGGACAGGTGGTTGTGGAGAGTGCGTCTGCCGCATCACGTTTCAAGGAGGGGAGACCAAGCGAGGCGGGCCAGGAGCGTCCTGCGCCGCATAACTGCCTCAGGCGGCCTCTCAAGACTCCTCGTCCTCACTCCCCTCTCCACCGCAACAGCAACAACCGATCCCTACAACACAATGGAAATGTGGCATCCCCATCCTGTCCCAACCCCCACCCCCACCCCCAACTACGCCCCACCCCACCTGGCTGTAGGTCATGACTGCAGAGTCCTTGGGCTCATTGCCCTCCCACAGGAAGCAGGGCTGGTCGCCGCGCCCCGCCGCCACGTGCCTGTCCAGGCAGTTGTAGGCGATGTTTGTGAGGCCCCCCTTGAACCACTCCACGTGGATCGGGCCATTGCGCACGTCAAAGTTCCAGGAGGTGTGCTTCTCGTCCCACTTGAGGTTTCAGATTTACATCGAGGGGCCAGGGAGACACGGTGGTTCCGGGGGTGTGAAAGGGTTGTGCCAGGGTTTGGCGTGTGATTGGTGAGTGCCAGGCCTGTCAGCGGACGGAGATGCTGCGGCACGGGTGCATTGGCGGTCCGTACCGCCATCGTGCAAGCACAGGGATGGGACCGAGCGTGCACGTGCCCCACCCAAGCGCCCCGCCGTCCCCACCCACTCGTGCGAGTCCCGCCCCTCATGGTCATCGGTCAATGGTCAAAACCAATGCCCTGCAAAGGCTGCGCCGCGCCTTCCGTGCCGCACCTTCTTGTGCCAGTGGAACTCCGACGCGATGTCGGCCCAGAACCCATCAGGGTCCTCAATGGAGCGCTGGTACATTGCCTTGTACTGCGGGCCGGCAGCGGCGCGGGGTGCGTTCCATATGGGGTTGACGACAGGCAGTCATAGCAAAATCAGAGGCGGCCATGAAGAAAGCGGGCAGGACGATATTCACATCGCCAATGGGGGTGTAGCTGAATGCTTCAGGCTGCAAAGGTGGCGCGAGGCGGCCAAAGCTGGCCAGGCCGCAACAGGTGGGGACCGCATGCGAGCCTGCGCAATGAAAGACAGTTTGGGCCAGACGCATGCACAGCGTGCGTCCCCCACCTGGTCGACGTTCTCCACAAAGGGGGTGAAGTGGGGGTAGTTGGAGGGCACGTGCGGCACCAGGTCCACAGGGGGCTGCGGGGAGGTGGCGTCTGGGGCCACGGCGGCTGCGGCGACCACCTTGTCCTTCGGGGGTTGGCGTTGCAGGGGCGCAGGACAACGATGGTCCACCGCGCATGGGTGGGTGGGGTTGGTTCGGGGCCTGGGTGGCGCGCAGCTGAGGCGAGGCTGAGCATCGCGCGATGCGTCTTGCAAACCACCAAACGAAATGTATGGCCATCAGGGCGGCTGACGGCGCTGCGCAGCGGGCAGAGATAGGCAGCAGCGCAGGGCAACTGCGCGCTGCAACAACATGCAGCAACCAGGTTTCGAGTATCAGTGCTGCGACGACGCCGGCGCCAGCGCCGCCATGCACGCTGCGTGTTCCTCCATGAGCCGTCGCGCAAGCCAGCGACTCACGGGCAGGGCAGCGGTGGCGATGTCGCGGGCCGGGTTGGAGATGCTGCCCCACATGCCCAGAGAGGTGGTCGAGGGTGCATCATTGCCCTGGCTCTTAGCAATGCGTGCCACGGGTCGGCCGCCTGGGGGTGAGGTGCGTGCGCATTGTGCTGCGCGTCAGATAGGGCGACAACAGCTGCGCGCGCGTCACTGGCCGGTACGGTGGCGAGCGGGTGACGCGTTCGCGGCGGGCCGAGAGGCCATGCCGGCTGCTGGACATGCGCGTTACAACCCACTGTTTCTACATGAGCTGGGCGGCTTAGCAGATCGTGTTGCAACCAATGACGGTGGATGCTTCGGCCGCATCGACATGGCTCCGCAAGGACCGTATCTAAGCAATTACGCCCTCCAATTGAAATGTAGCGATCGGGGTCTCAAAGCCTGTACACACCATTCACGGCAGCGGTCGTGGGAAGACTGCTGTCTACGCCATTATCATGGGCGGATTTACCCTTCTGACTGAGACGCTTGAAGAACATGGCGGCTGCTAGGACGTCCTGCTTGTCCTGGCACGCGACTTTTGATCTGAGTACGTCTTGAGTCACTGGTGCCGTGAAAAAACAGTATCAAAGAATCAAGCGACTGTGTGCGCCAGCCGAGGGTGTCGGCAAGACGTTCATGGTGGAGGTGACTCCCCGCATTCACCGCGAGCGAGTCGCCAACACGCGCAACATTCGGCGCGTCTGGAACCTTGCCCTCCGGGCCCAGGACTGTGGTTGCTTGTTGCCAGGGCGAGTTTAGAGTTTTTTGCACTGCATAGGCGGGCGAGGAAGCATTCTATGCCACATTTTTGGAGAACCTGCAACGCAACGCGGAGTCATCACAACCGACCTGGACACTGGCTGCCTTTCGACTCGACACCGCCCACCCAGGCTGGCGTCTGCGGTTGCACGTCCAGTCAAATCTCGAACACGGTATCTCAACCAACATTTGCTTTTGCCATTTTGTCAGGCATAAATCCTGAACCTGTGCAGGCACAGCTGACTGGGAAACGGCGTGGCAAGCAATGCGATTTACAGTGCGTCTGACTCACAACAAATGCACGTCACATAACTCTCCAATCATGCCCGTTGCCACACACGTTAACAACTGTGCAGACTTGACCTGTTTGCTGGACCTGCAAGCGTGTTTGCAGTGCCAAAACAAAGTCAAGGCCCTCCAATCAACATGTCCCCCCCACCAATGCAGGCATGCGCTTGGCCACCTCACGAGCCCCAAAACGGCACATCCTGAGGGTTGTCCACCTTCACACCCGCGCTGCCGACCTCTTGCCTTGCAGCCTCCGCTGCGCCGCCACCGCCACCAGCGCCCCCAGCCCCCCTTTGTCCCGCGCCTTCGCCGCCGACGCGCCCCGCGCTGCTGTTGGCGCCAGCCCCAAGGATACCCTCCCTGGTGCCCGGCTCGCTGGTGTTGCCCGTGTCATCAGGCTGCTCGGCCGCAACTGGATCGCTCATCACAGACTCGTCACCCGGGTCTTTTGGGGACTCGAACACCGGCGACGTCGGCTCAGACGGGTAGGCGTCGGCAGGCGGCGTGTCATAGGGGGACACAGGTGGCTCGTCGCGCATAGCGGGCGCGGGCGGCGTGACGTGTACGCGGCCGGAACCTTCGGGGCCACTGATGCCGCGCCCAGCGTCCGCAAACAGGCGGCGGCCTGCGCACGAGGCTACAGCGAAGGGATTAAGCGTCTGTGAGGATCTGTAAATCGCAAACATCATTTAAAAGATCACTGTGCCGATCGCCAAACCGTCAGGGTTCTTCCGTCGTGCGTAATACGGCGATCTCTTCAGAGAACGCTCAAAGATAATTCAACTGATTGTGCACATGCGTGAAGAAAGCTTGGTGGCCGGAATGGTATGCCGCTGCCGGCCCGCTCATCCAGTGGTGACGTCAGCGAGAGCGTCGTGGTAGCAGCGAAGCACCCTCACAACCGCACCACGGTTTCAAAAATGGAGTGTGTCATGCAGCAGACACTCTAATGGTAGCGATACATCCTGCTTTACACATGCAAGCATTTTATGACACCTCTGGTGGGGCTCTACTACCAAACGCAACGTGGCACGCAGGCGAGTCAAAAAATTGTTGACGGTCATGATCAGCTGTTGACCGTTGTTTCAAGGAGTAGGCAAACAGCACAGAATCGCAAGAGCGTCTTGAAAAGCCTTGGGCGTATGCTGCCCCAGGTCACACAGGGAACCTTGCCTGCCTGCCGACGACAATTTGCCCCTGCACGTACCTTTTTGTTACTCTGGACAGCAGTATGCATGACACCAGCAGGAGACCAGCCAGCGCACGCCACATAACGCCGCACTAGGATTTGCTGGTGAAGCGCACGAGTGGAGGTGACCTCACGTGTGCAAGGGTCACAATGGCTGTGCTACTGGCTGCCGCAGTGGACCCTGGATGCCTAACTGGGAGGCGTGCGCAAGGGCGAAAGCACTTGCAGACATAACAAAACCACCGTGGTCGGCCCTTTCAAGCCCAATGAGGCTCCTGGATGCCAGAGAGTTCATCTCAAAACAAGCGAGCATGCACCACCACGCTGAGCTAGGACATCAATGGAAGGGGAGTCTAATGTTCAGAGTGTTGGTGCATGGCCATTGAAGCAGCCGCATTTCGCGGCCAGCGTGCAAAAGGTTGTCGGCGCAAAGCAAGCAAGTCTGTTGAAGTACACTCGCAGGCTCCAATCCTGTGCGGATCGGATCACGCCGGCGAGAAGGCTGCGGGGGCTGGGGTCTTGCAGAGCGAGTCGCATGCGCAGCGAAGCCCCTGGATAACTCAGCTGCGAGTGTATTGTCAGCTGCGGCCATCTGGATCTACAGGATGCACTCAGTCCTGTCGTCCTGAATGCTGGGGAGCCGGCTCGCCAAGGGCTGGGCTGCTCACAAACACTCCTACTTGGCCAGCTCCCCAGAGGCAAGGTGGTACTGCGGGGTTGCGAGTTCAAAATCAGAATTTGTCTTTCCAGCACGCCTTGCCTCAACAGCATGGCTCAGTTGCACCATATCCAGGAGTGCGCGAGGTCACCTACAACCTCCTCCTTGCTTGCTGCAGCCCCAGTCTTGTGACCCGCGCACGGGCTGCTGTGCCTAACCAAGCATGTGTGCAACAACCGCACCTTCAGTGCATCGGTGACGAGCTGCACCATGGGCCCGTCCAGGGGCTCCCCCTCGTACGTGATGAACAGCTCATCCTTTGCCATTGCCCCGATGGTGTCAATCTCCGCGCTGGCGACGTTGACGTTGATGTCCTTCAGGGTGCGGACGATGTCCACCAGCAGGCCGGGCCTGCGGGAGGCGGCGGGGAGGCGTTGCAAGGGGCGTCGGGAGGGGGGGGGCTGGGATCCTAGAGGTCAGGGAACTTGGGGGTTGTCGCTGGAAGGACTTGAAGAGGGCTGGCTTATAATGCTGGCGTTGCGTGCCGGCAGCAATTTAGGGTGAGGGGGGTGAAAAGGTATGACACATGCGGCTCTCGTGGCCTGTCCCGCAACCCTTGCCCAGCTGCTTACCTGTCGGGTGTCTCGATATAACAGATGGAGCAGCTGCCGTTGGGCGCCTCTGTGACCTCAATCGTGGTGGGCACCATGTTGCGGGGGCTCATGGGCGCCGCGGCATCATTTGCAGCCGCGCTCGCCGCCCTGCCCATGGCCAGCGCCTCGGACGACTCCTGCGACAAGGAGGGTGTTACCCAGTGCAGCCGGCAAGTGTGGGGCTCCTGAGACTGCACAAAAACGACGCTGGTCCTGATGACTGTGAAAACAACTTTGGTTTTCTCCAAGGCAGCCCTGCCTGCTGCTTTAGGGGTGATTTTGAGCTACGACCTTGATCCGTGACGGCACAGCAAGCATGAGCCCTCCGCAAGTGCCACGCTCACCGGGTGGTAGTACAGGAGGTTCTTGATAATTGTCTGCAATCAAGGTGTTGCGCAGTGAATGTGTACTAGGGCAGTGACTGTGTACTAGGTCAGAGAGCAACTTAGGCGGTGAACACGGGCGTGCCTGCATGCAACTGACCATCAACTGGCACCGGCAGCACTTTGGCCCCGGCTGACATGCTGCAATGCAGCTGCGCATGCGACTTTCTGAGACCGTTCCATAGGCGCATGCAAACACCATGAAGTCGCCCCACCATACGTATGTCCTCAATCTGCGCAATGCGTGTGATCTTGTCGCTAGTCTGGGCGTTGGTGACGAAGAAGGTGTTGGCCGTCCGGCCGGCGGCGCCCGCCAGCTTCGCACGAGTGATGTTCAGGCCCAGGTTCTTGAGGGCGGTAACCTGAGAACGTCAATGCAAAAGCAGGTAAATCTTCGTTGCATCGTGGTTGCATCGTGCATACGGTGCTGGGCACAAAGGAATGGCGGCATGCCAGGTGGCCACAAGCAGGAATGATTTGACCGCTGGTCAAACAGCCGCACCGTGTCCAGCAGCTCGCCCAAGCGGTCGCCAAACTCCACCGTCACCACAGTGGCAAACGGATCATGGATGTTGTCGATGCGGACCACTGGTGTAGGAACAGTGGTGGGTGCCCGCTCCGCAGTGGTAGCTGTCGCCGCGCAGCCAACAACAGCAACACGCAGCGGGGGCCTGCGCCATGCCAAGTGTGCACCGTATGCATGGTGCATGGGAACGTTACTGCTGTATTGTGCTTACCAAATAGTGTGGCGCCAGGACGAACCTGGCGCGTCCCGTCTATCATCAACGAGGCAAGCAGACCAACAGCGAAGGGGACCCCGCGTGCGAGCAACCCGACCCGCAGGGTCACGGCCGACCTGATGATGTTTGTTGTGCTGATCCGCGTATATGAGCGCCTGGCGCAACGCTGAGTGAGACCGTGCGTTGGGAACCGCGCGGCAAGCAAAGCCATGCTGGCAGCTGTCGTAAGTGTGCACGGTAGGCGTGTGGGGCGTATAGAGAATTTCGTTTGTGCAACCAGACTGCTTGCAGCGTGTGATGCAGCAATTCCGGTTTGCAATTGCAGCACCTGCTGACATGGTGCTGACCCCACGACACAGCTGCGCAGGCACAGAATGTGCGCAGCTGGCCAGTGAGCCAGCACAAGCTACTGCCGTGCCTGTCGTGCAAAAGGTTGATGGACACAGTAACAAAGCGCATGTGTGACGGCCAGGGCACACATACATCGTCGTGAAGGCGCTGACGAGGGATGACCATAGCGAAGGCGCTAACCAGGTAGGACGATGGCTGCTGACAGGCGGGTGTGGGCCTGCTTGATGGCGGGGAGAGATCACGCATCTAGCTTTCTGTGAACCCCCGTCTTTTCCATTTATTTTCAGGGTGGCTGTGGCAAGGGAGGAATCCTGCATTCCCATGCCACGCAACGGTCATCAACCGGCACGGTCGATCCTGTTGATTGCACTGCAACACGTTTCCTCTTGACAGCAGACCCACAGTCCGACCGAGGGTCTCACCGGTCATTCAAAAGCATGGCTGACCCCATCATCCTCATCTCATAATCAAACAACACCGCGTGTGTTGCACAGCAAGCTTGCCGCACGTGGTCAACTCCTTCGCCCACAGAATGAGCCCACAATAGGGTGTCCTCCGTCTCATGCTTTCACCTGCAGCACTGCTGCAAGTACAACATTGGCACTGAGAGAAACATGCATGCGCACATGTGCACGCAGACGCACACGCACATGCATAAACATAGGCATAGGTACATGCACATGCACAAACATAGGCACAGGCACATGCACATGCACACGAACATGCACTCGCACACACTTACCCACACGCACAGAGATGCGCAACGCATGCAGTGGGACTGCTGTTCTGGGATGAGCCAGCAGAGCAGCTTGATGCTGCGACCAGGGTTGCTTAACGAGGGGGTGATAAAGTGCCCCTGTCCAGGTGTGATCGAGGTGCCCTCCTGCAACTGCGGGAGGCCCCCCTTTGTGACATTGCCCGCGCAGGTCTTGGTGCCCCAGCCCGCGCAGGTCAGCGCCACGGGGCGCCCAGCGTGGCCCTTGCATCTTGCGCATGGGGACAGGGCATCCGTCACAGGGTGGCCACCTTGTTTGGTTGCAGATCACCCTGCTCACCCCGCATCCAGCATGCGCCCAGCAGACTGTATTGTTTGCAGGGCTCTGCCGTGTGGACCCACCTGTCGCGGCTGCCCTGGTGAGGGGAGGCTGCTGCGTGGTACGGGGTGGGGTCATGCTTGCAGGCTGGGGCGCACCTGCTGCCCAATTTACGCCTCAACCCCCTGAATTGTGGCTGCCTTCTGCAAAAAACACGGTGTTTCCTGTATGGCCAACACACGAGTACCAGCAAGCCTGGATTTACTTGGCCCTGGGGTTCAAAACAAGGCAGCGCACCCTCTTCAAGCTCGCCGGGCCGAGCGCCGCACTGCTGCGCCAGTAGACTTGCCACCCGCTGCCGCTGCCGCATCCTCCGCCGCCGCTGCACCACCACTGCCGGGGCCGCCCCCAACCCCGCTGCCGCGTTTGCCGCCGCGCGCACCGCCGGGCGCCGCCGCCGCCGCTGCGGCCTCCGCCACCGGCGCCATCGCGTCTAAAAAGCCCGCCGTGAAGTTCTCGCCCGAGAACTTCGCGGCGTGCCGCTGCGCAGCGGCCGCGATGCGCAGGCGCTCGACCTGCGGCATGACCAGCACGCGCGTGATGGCGTCGCAGTACTCCTCTGGGGTCTCTGCCAGGTAGCCGGTGATCTGGGGGCCGTCGCGGCCCTCCAGCGGCACGACGATGTCGGCGCGGGGCCCACCGGAGTTGTGGGCGATGGGGATGACGCCTGCCGGCGGGGGTGGGGGCGTTGAGGGGAAGGCGGCGGTTGCTTAGAGCACGCTTGGTCGAGGGAAGTGTGTTGGGATGCCTGGGCGAGCGAAAGGCGCATCCACGCGGCTTGAGGTTTCTAGGCCAACGGCCAGAGGAGGAAGCAGGGGCGGCCAGAACAGCAGAACTTCCAAGCTCATTCGCAGCACAACAACCACCGCACCAGGCACCAGGCGCCAGCCACCAGGCCTGGAGCGCGCTGTGCGCAGCCCCTCACCTGCCGCCATGTACTCCACCACGCTGATGCCAAAGTGCTCGTCCGTCATCGAGTGCAGGCCACCGACCGCGCCGCCCAGCAGCGCCCTCAGCTCCGTGAAGGGCACGTTGACGCACCACTCCACCGACGACTCGATGCCCAGCTCGCGCGCATAGTCCTGGGAGTGGGTGAGGGAATTGAGCAAGCAAAGGGTGTGGACCTCTTGTGTTGTGAATGTGCGTTTGCCAGCCGAAACGATGCGCATGTGAGTCACATGCGATGTATACATTATCACTTTCCAGCTGCCAATCGGCCATCAAACACCAAAAGAGTAGCATGGCTGAACCCCACTGGCCAGACGCAGCTGCGACACCCCATCAGCCGCACCATAGTCACACACACACACACACACACACACACACACACACACACACACACACACACACATATTCAGGCCCCTCTGCCGAACAAACAGCAGGCACAAGCGGTGGAAGCTGCACCCAGACCACCGCCCAAACCTGCCACTGCTGACGCGCCTCAGCCCCCACCTGCAGCTCCTCCAGCAGCCGTTGGTCGTCCTTGCCCCTCACGCTGCCCACCATCTTCAGCTTCGACACCCGCACCGCACGGCCCGCGTCATCGGGGCCTGCTAAGGGGCGGGGCGGGCGGAGGGGGGGGGAAGGCAGGGGCGAACGCGTTGAGGGGACGGCAGGTGTGACGCCGGGCGGCAAAGAGCCTGCAGCGGTGCTCGTCTCCAATGGGCGTCAGGGAAGGGTGGACTGGCAGCGCTCGGATGAGAGGCGCTGGAAGCGGATTATTGAAGAGGCTGTGCGGATTTCCCCCTCGCCCCAGCCCCCGCCCCTCAGACCTGCTTGCTGTCTAGCCATGGCATAGGCCTCAAGCTGCAGCCGCTGATTCTTCTCTGGCCGGAACTGGGCGACACTGACCTGCGCATTGAGAGAGAAGGATGGGTGACAAGCAGCGGTTGTTGTGAGGAAGGCGACCAAGGTGAGCAGTGCCAGACGAGGGGCAACAAAGGGTGCCGACCCGCCTGGCACACACCCCATGCTTAGCCACACGCCTGTCTCCCAGTAAGCCCCTGCACATACGACGCACATTCGTGCACCCATACAATATCGTTCCCACACATGCAAGCAGATGCCCATACAGGGACAACAGGGACAAAGCTGCGGTAGCCCCCTCTTTTAGGCAGACCATCAAGCCCAAATCGGCTGCCCTACAGATAGAGGTGCCCACCAGATAGAGGTGCTTGAGCCGCCTGTCCAGTGGCAGCCGCTGCAGCTCCTCGGTGTCGCAGGGCGGGTACACGCGCGCCGGGCGCTGCCGCGACCACCAGAGGGACTGAATGTGGTCCCGCGTCCAGGACGAGTTGACCATCACCACGTCTAACAGACGCGAGAGGCAGAGCGAGAGGGGTGTTTCGCAGCGGTGGTTTGTGTTGAGGCAGCGTTGTTGGGCGCTGAGGCGCTGGTGGCACGTGCCTGGTCAAAAGCATGCTGACTGAAAACGGCTTACAAGCTCCCTTGCCGCCCATCCAGCTGTGCAAAGGGCCACGTCGGGGGCGCCGCCAAATATGGCTCCCAGAAACCGAGCGCCCTGCGCGCGCGTCCCGAGCGCAGCTTAACGCTGCCACCACGGCCGAAGCAGCCTCGTCGTAGCCGCGCGGGCGCACCTGCGAAGGCCCCGCAGAAGCCGTAGACCAGCGCGAAGGCCTGGTAGTACGCGACCTTGACCATCGACCGCAGGCTGTTGTTGGCGATCGCCTCGTCGTTGGTGATGGTGGCCTGGCGGGACAACACCCTGGGAGAGGGATGTCAGGGGGGAGGGGGCGGCGGCTGCCGTGAGCGCGGAATGCGGCAGCGTTGAGGGGCGCTAAGACAAGGGCATGAGTCAAGTTGACAAAGGTTGAGCCAAGCGCGTCGACAGCGCCCGTGTGTGGCACCGGGCCCAGTTGACGACCTCCACCCCAACCCTTAACAATGCGCTGCCTCTTGCCGTCGCGCGCCCTCACCTGCCCAGCATGTCCGTGCTGACTGTGGGGTAGTGCACATAGCAGGCCACCTTGCAGCCCGCCAGCTTGGCTAGGGGAAAGGTGAACGCCCATCCGGTGGTGTCAACAAATACCTGTGCAGAGTTGCGCAAGCAGTAACTTCGGTTCAAGTGTTTGGTGTTGACCAACCTGAGGGCCCTTGCACTGTGATGGAGAGCCAGAACAAACCACAAATCTGCTGCTGCCCCGTGCAGTGCAAGCAGGCCTGAACGACACTCGCCTTTGGTGTCTGCAGGCAGGGGCCGCCCTGTCATGACACCTGGATGCCCCCCCCACACACAATGCCATACTCACTCCTGCTTGCTTGCCCAATGGCCCCCTCAACCAGCCCACCTGCGGCACCCTCAGCGACAGCGCCTCCCAACCCAGCAGCGCAGACCCCGCCGCCTGCCTGATCATGGTGAACCGCCGGTAGCGCTCCGGCCTGACTAGGTGGGTGCGCTTAAGAGGCACCACCTGCGCAGGCAGGAGACAAACGGCACGAGGGAGCAATGCGCCGGAAGTATTGAGAAGCGGCCAGCCGGCCGGGGGCCCTGCATGGGCGCCCCATGCGCCCGGGCCGCGTGCAGGCCTCCCAACGACGTGGCCGCTTCCTTGACGCAGCGCTCAACAGAGCTGCGTTCCCCTCAACTGCTGTTGCTGGTGCTTTTGGTCCTTGGCGAGCATGGCCGGCGCGAACAGTGGCCTCTCATGAGGTCCTGTCCCTCAGAACAGCACTGAAGCGGGGGACCCAAATCTCCGCCCCGTTGAGCGGCACTGAGCCAAGCCGAACGTCAGCCCACCTCAAACGGCTGCGGCAGCACTATGTTGAAGTGGTCCGCCGCGTGCTGCTGCAACTGCGCCGCAGAGACGCCCTCGCGGACGTATATGAACAGCTGGGGGTGGGGCGGGGCGGGGAGGCGGGTGCGGGTGGCGGTTGGGGCGGCCGTAGCTGAGGCGGTAACCGGGGGGAGTGGGAGCCGCTGCGCCGCAGCCGGCGCATGGGCCAGGGCAAGCAGCCCCGGCCCCGCTGTCGTACGGCCCCGCTGCTGCCGCGGTGTGGCGCGCACCTTGACTGATGGATAAGCCACTTGCAGGGCTTGTATGGCCACCCTGCAAAGAGCGTGACACATGCATGGAGAGCGCCGCGGTGCACCGTGCATGAAACGTGCTCTGCGTTGGTGTTTGAGCGCTGCGAATCCGCGACGACGACCGGAAGCTCATGCTCCAGGGGCGCGAGCAGCTAAGCTCGCCACTGATGAGCTGCACATTGCACGGGACCCCCCGCATGCCGGACGCACCACAGCACCCGCTCGCCGCCGCCGCCGCCGTCCGCAAATGGATGGAAGAACCCAATCGTGCCCTGTGGGAGGGCAGGGGCGGGGCGCCCGGTCAGAAAGGGGGCCCGTGGTGTTACAAGCAGCGGATCGCAAGCACAAACGTCTAGCACGGTTGCATAACGCATTAGCTGCTCGCACCGGCTCCAGCGCCAAGGCATGCCGCAGCACGCGCAGTAACGCCAGTGCGGCGCCGATCGCCACTGCAAGGAGCGCCACCAGCAGCGCCACCCATGCAGCCATGCTGCATACAGCTATTGGCCAGCACAGGACCACGGATGGCCCCGGCAGGGGCGCTCTATGCGTCGGCGCAGGACAACGAGATCGTTGTAAAACAAACGATGAAACCGAACTACTGCACGAAGCTCAAGAATGCCTCATTTATGACCATTATGAGATGCTACCGGCTGGTGAGCCAGGCTGCTGAACAATAATAAACGGTCTCGGGTGATATCGAGCAGGCACTACGTCTTACCCCATGGCTCTCATACATTGTCAGGTTATCATATTGAAAAAAAGTTGCAGCACACGAGCAAGGTCACATTGTGGCCGCTGTCCAATATTGCCAGAGACTGCGCGCATAAAATTGCGCCCCACAATTCATTGGTAGTCTCCACATTGGGATCATGGAGGTGACAGAGGCAATTCTTCTCAGCCAGCTGAAGGGCCTGGGGCATCAGCGCACCCAGGCGGGCGCAGTCGCGACTTTGCTGCTGCTGTTGCCGCGCACCGACCCAGACTTGGGGCCGGTCATTGCACCGTATGTGGGGCAGCTGGCCGCGCTGCTCGCAGACGGCGCGCCTGATGATGCTAGTGTTCAGGTGCGGCCTGCAGCCACCGCGCCGACTGCCTGCATGCTTCCGTCTTGAATGCTCCAGACGGGGCGACCCCGTGCCACCTCGAACAGGCGGTGCGGGGCGCAGGCCGGCACCTCAGGGCCTTGCACGTGCGCCGCAGACAAACGCGGCGGCTGTGCTGGGGGCGGTCGCCTCGCTGACGGACGAGCTGCATGCGGCGGTGGACGAGGCCGCGGTGAGCACAGCTCACCTGTTGCCAACGGTTGCCGGCAGGACTAAGGGGCGGTCTGATCGACTCGGCCTGCAGATGAACGTACTGCGACTGTCACATGCGGTTTTTTGGAGATGAGTGGGCTGCTGTGCGGTGTGGTGCAGCATCAGGAATGAAAGAGGGCTCGTTAGCAGCAGCACCCACGCCAGACGCTCACGTTGCCCCTCTACGCAGGCGGGCACCTTTGAACGGCTGCTGCGAAGCTGTGGCGAGGCGAGCACGAGCGGCGGCGAGGGCGAGGGCGGCGGCGACGGGCTCGCAATCAATGTCCTATCGTCGGTCGCGCAGCTGGCGCGGGAGCAGGGCCGAACTCTGGCGGCGGTCAGCTCTCAACAAGGTGCGCCTTGCTGAGAGCGCTGAGCATACCCAGCAGGCGGAGGCGCTTGTGCGGTCCGCACGCAGCACGTGCAAACCACGTCCGCAGCCATGCCAAACGCGCACAACTGCGTGCCCAATGCTTGCTTGTGCCGGCTCGCTTTCCAACGGCCTACCGCCCCGCCGGCCCCAGGCCTCTCTGCGATGGTGGCGTGCTGCGCGCGCCCCACGCTGGCGGAGTCTGCGCTCGACGCACTCTGCGCGATCGCGTCCCACGACGCCCATCGCCCCGCCCTGCGCGCCGCCGGCGCCGTGCCCGCCGCGGCGGCGGCCGTCGCGGCGGGCGGCGAGCCGGACGCGATGGTGCGGGCGCTGATGCTGCTGGGCATGCTGACGTCATCGAGCCCCGAGGCGCGGGGGCAGCTGGTCGAGGCGGCTGAGGGGCGCGGCGTGGTACGGCTTTTTGGGCTGGCGCGGCAAACGGAGGACGAGGACTGCAAGGTGTGCCCGGTTGGGGCTCGGCGCACACTATCATGGCTAGGGAGGCGAGGCTGATGCGGGCATTTTCTGCGACTTGACAGCGTGCACAGCAGCGCGCACTTTGGCCGTGCGGCAGGTGGGGTCGTGACACCAACTCAGCTGAGTGCACCATGCCAGACCCTTAAACCTTCTCGATCCAACCGCCTCAACCGCCCGCCAGGTCATTGCGCGAGACCTCCTGGGGCTGCTGACAAGGGATCCAGAGACGCGTGCGGGCGTGGAGTCGGCCGTGCGGCGAGCGGCCGATGCAGCGGCCGCCGCCGCTGCGGGAGGCGCGCCGGTCGGGGCGGCAGCCTGATTGTGTGCAGCCTGAGGGAATTCAAGCACGGCCGTTCTTGGAGAGCAAACCCAGCCCTCGTTGCATTTACACCAAACATGAGAAGGCTGTGCGCTGTCCAGGCTTCACTTTCGCAGCGCCAACCCTGCGCCAGTGCCGCCGCCGCCTAGTATCAGCTGGTAATGCAACGTGAACTGCCACAGCCAGGGATGAAGTGCAGCGACGAAAGCCAGTTGCATGGAAGACACGAAAGAACGCGCCGTCTTCCCTCGCTCAAGCGCCTATTTCTGCCAAAGACAGGTAGTTGGCTGGACGTAACTGTCCTGCTGAAGTCAGCATGTGTTGGGCTCTGCGATTTGCTTTGAAGGATCAGTACAGGTTTGGAATGGTCGTCGCAACCTGCCCCAGCAAGGTGTTTCCACACACAGAGAGACAAAGAGCAGCCGGAGTCAATGCTGAGGCCTGCTTACAAATCCTGCCAGACGACCCTCAGGTGTGGCGACCAAATGCGAAGCCCACGCTTCCACATCTGTTGGCCTGCTGAAATGCTGTTTAGCGGTTGCGCGCACCCCTCATGCCAGCCGTCCAGCCGCTGCACAGAGCAGACATATTACAACGTGCTCCCCACGAGCTCTCGTCCGGTCAGCCGCCGCCCGCCGCCGCTGCGCCCGCCGTACCGACAGGCAGCGGCGCCGCGCTGCTGCCCGCCTGCGCATCGGCCGAGGCCGCCGGCCCGATCCCCGGCGGCAGGGTGACGCCCGGCGCAAGGGTGACGCCTGCTGGTATGGGCCCGCTGGCGTGCAGCCGCACGCCGCCGGCGTCGTCCAGATTTGAGGCGTCCTCGTCCTCGACTTTGTAGAACGTGTAGCTGAGGGTTATGTCGTGGATGTTCCTGGCGCAGGGGTGGGGCGAGGGGAGGGAAGGCATACAGTGAGGTATCAAGGGGGTTGGAGCGGTCATGAGCACCGTAAAATGAGCGAGGCTGGGCAGGAGTGCTGTCTCGGACCTTGAAAGAGGCCCGCGACACGTGCCGTGTGCCGGCGCCGAAGACGCGGCCCCACCAGCTTGCATCAAGCCCTTATATTCACTCGGCCCTGGCATCCCCGCACGTGCGCCCACTGCGCACCTGCAGTTGAAGTCGTCCACCATCTCGGGGTCGATGTAGAAGAACACCGGCATGTCAACCACCTCCCCCGGCCGCAGCCGCTGCTCCTCAAAGCAGAAGCACTGGATCTTGTTGAAGTAGTAGGCGGCCTTTTGAGAGGGAGGGGGTTGGGGGTGGCAGGGGCAGAGAGCGGGATTGAGTGAGGGAGTTTGAGGGGTTGGGTTAAGATTACGACATGAGTCGAAGATAGAGATGAGACAGGCACTCATTCTGTGATGAGTTGCGCACATGAGAGCGATTCAAGGGGGCACGGGATCAGCAGCGGCGCAAACAGGAACAAGTTGAGGTTCAACACGCAAGGGCTTCCAGCAAAGAAGCCGTGCAACATCCTGCATCCCCTCAGCCAGGCGGGCAACGGCCATGCGCTCACCTTCTCGGGGACCACGTTGTATGTCGACACGCCCGTGATTGGCTTGGAGCTTGGGGGTTGACCAAGCAGATGAGGCAGACACAGCGCGTCAATCGCATGTGTTTGGTGGTTATTGAAGAGCACAGCAGCAGAAATACACCAAACTCTTCATTGAGGGCGAAGCCATCGTGCAGGCAGTGCTGGGGTGTCCCTGGCGGCCCGAGTGGTGCAGAATGTGCGTCTGTTGAAGGTCGCTGGGGCCTCACCTGGTGTTCTTGGCCGTGAAGAAGACGAGGGTGCTCTCCCCAGGCCGCACCTTGACAAAGTCCTGGGTGTGGTGGTGGTGGTGGCGGTGGTGTGCACGGCAGCTGTTATGGACGGTAGCATACAACCACCCTCGCATGCCGCAGCAGGGGGAGAAGCGCGCCTGCAGGCAAAGCGTGCGCAGCCGCCCGGCCCCTGGCCGGAAGCAAAGCGCACGCGTGAAAGCTCATGCAGGTTCAAGCCAACCCGGCCAAAGCCCCCGCGATTCATGTCGACGGCCCAAGGAGCAGCACGCGCAAAACGCCTGCCTGCGTGGGCGTGAACCGCCACGGCATGTCGTCGGCGACGTCGCTGCTGAACCACACGCGCAGCTCCCTCGCGGCTGCCTTGGACTCCAGGGCGGCGTCCGGGCTCTCCTTGCGCCGCCGCAGCTTCTCCTCGACACCTGTGGCCTGCCCCACGGCGCCGCCATAACCTGTGGCCTGAAGATTTAGGTGTGTGGGTTGTGCAGTTCACGGTGATGAGTCTGTAAGTATGCTGTGTGAGTTCGATGCTCCAAAGCGCACGCAGGCATGCATACATGCAGGCAGGCGCCTGCTTGCCACTGCCTTCCTCTCCCCCTCCGCTTGATTGACGACCGGCTTGCCAGCAGTAACACCCCGCATTGGATGGGGGTGCAGCTGCATGTCATCCCTTGCTTTGGTGCGGCGGCGCCCTAACAGCCAGTACCTGGCAGAACATCCTGTAGAGGGGCACCATGGCGTACGACACCCCAATCATGCCTAAAACAATAGCACCCTGGAAATCAAAGATGGGGCAGGCGACAACGGCGGCAGGGCGTTGCGTGCGGGGGAGAGGCGGCCACCAGCCGTGCGCGCTCGTGTATGCCAGGTGCCGGGACGGGCACTTGCTGGAGCCGCAGGGGTTGGGCTTGGCTATGTCGTGAGCAGCACACCCAGGGCAGCGCACCAAGTACATTGCAGTGTCCTTGGACGACTTCTTGCTGCGCGCTGCGACCTGCGCGTAGCTGTGCTTGCAGGCGCGCCACTCCAGCCCCCACCATCCGGCGCCCTCGAGGCGCGCCCGCAGCTGCTGCTGGAGTTGCAGCTGCTGCTGCGGCCACAGCGCCGGGGGCGCGAGGGATCTGGTGTTGCAGACCCAGTCGTAACCAGGGGATGGCCTCAAAGAGGCCTGCTGCCGCGCTGCTGCTTGGAAGAAGAGCCGCTTCTGCACATGTTGCTGTAGCTGGTGCTGCTGCGACTGCGGCTGCGGCCGGGCTGCGGCGCTCCACCAGGCCACCTCGGCTGCCAGAACGCGCAGCCGCTGCTGTGCCTGCCGCATCATCACTGTTATGAGTCTAAAGCTGGCGCGGGTCGGCCCTTTTGAAACCAATGGCGATGAAGATATGCCAAAAAATACAGCAAGAGGACTTGGCAGCCTCAGGCCAAGATCGCACCGCGCATCAGTCGACAGCGCTCGTACAAACAGAATCTATGTATGCTTCAGCCCTATCAGTTGTGAAACCTTGCTGCTTGCGTTATCCCAACACCTTGCATTACAGCCGCTGCATCCAGCAGTGAGCGCGGTGTGCATGAGTCAGTGGGAGTGCCTGGGGCATTGCCTGGGTGCATCTGGCACAATAGCCTGTGCCTTGGGCTGTGGCGAGTGAATGATGTTGGGAGCCATGTGCAATGGCCTGCCGCAGGCCAAATGCCACATGCAGCGTGATCCCGGCCCTGCATGCAGGAATGTTGCATGGTACTAGCCACTGACAGTTGATGCGAAAGGCGAGTATCCAACGCGTGTGTGCCTCTGACTGCACAACCTGTTTGCCTGTGCAAAATTTGATGTGCTCATAATCAGTTCAATGGCTGGGCCAGCAACGATGAGGGTAGTACGTAGGCGGTGCAAGGTTGCAGCACTGATGCAGGGGGAAAGCTGGTGTCGACAACAACCTGCCTGCAATGGTAACCGCGATACCATTCTACACAGCTAACACGTCCACATGTGTTATTTCCCCCGCGCTTTTGGCCGTGCTCGCTTGGCATCACTTCTTGTCTTTGCGTCCACCTGCTGACCATGATTCCACTTGCGCCTTCTCATACTTTTTCGTGTTGGGCTTTTGCAGTGCCTGCCATGCCTGGTGCCTGTTGCGTCAGGCACTGTTTCCACGAGCCCAACTCCTTGACTTTAAACACCCACCTGCTTAACAATACACAACCTTCACACCCTTGAAGGTTCATCGAGCGCCCCCTTCCCACCCCCACCCCCAGCGACGGCTGTATGCTGTCCAGCCCTGCAACATGTCCTGCCTGGTTGGGGTTCCGCGCCTGCTTGCATTCCGCGTCACCCGACTATGCAGGATGCCCTGTCCACCCACACACGCCCGAACCTGCGATTTTGACTGAGGAATGCCTGCCTGGTTACAACTCACGGCAGCCTCCTGCGTCTCTGCTACATTGCTGATAGGGTCACACAAAGGCCCCATTAATTGATAGAAGTAGGCTAATGACTGCGCCGCTGCATGCTGACCCCGTCACAACGCCGACAGCTCGTCGATGGCCGCGCCCAGCGGCCACGCGGCCTCGATGGTTTGCCCGTTGTACCGCACCTGCTTGACCAGGTTCAGTGGGCTGCCCTCCGCCAAGTCAAAGCCCTGGGTCAGGACTGTGTGGCAGAATGACAGGTCGAGGCAGAAGTAGGGCGCGTGGGCCTCCTGCAGGGAGTACTGCTTCGCCACCTCAGCGGCGTCCTTGCCGCACACGGCCGTGGCGCGCTTGGCGAACTCCTGCGGGGCCGGGCCGGAGGGCGACGGTGCGGTGTTTCGGGCTCCTGACCTGAGTGACTGCCACAACAGCGCTTCGAGACGACACTGGCAAGCGCGCCGAGGCCCCGCACGGCGTCTGACAGGATGGTCACAACCAGGGGGCCATGGTGGGCGCCTCCGGGCCCCTGTCCCTGCCGACGCACCCCAGGCGTGGTCTTGAACTCGATGGCGGACTTGTCTGTGATGATGCCAGAGTCCAGGGCGCGGTCCCTTTGGGGTCGAGGGGGGCGATCGAGGGGTGAGGTGAGTGCTAGTGCGACTGCCTGCTCACTGTTTGCAAATTTGCATGTGATGCCGGCGTAGGAGCTCGTGTTTAGGATTGGCACATGCTTGCGTGCACATGTGACACGCACGAGCTTACACATAGACATACTCACAAGCGCACGCGCGTGTGCGCACGCCGACAAACACTACACCATGCCTACTGCCTACCAGAAGTAGCTGCTGACGTAATAGACGCGCTGCATGGACGCCGGTTTGCCGCGCCACACGCCGCTGAACGAGCAAGCGGCCTGCGTAGGCAACAGCAGCAGCGGGAGCATTGCAGGGACGTCAGGAAGGGTGACCATTGCGTTCCCAAACTTCCACAAGCATTCGACCAGCTGCTTTACCAAGCGCACCTTCGCAAAGGAGTCTGCCCCAAAGCTGGTAAATCCCTGTTGCCCAGCTGTTCCAGGCGCATCAGCTCCATCCCCAGCGAGCCCAGCGCTAAGCCGCCCCCCCGCCAGCCCCCCAACCTTGTCAGCGCCGCAGTCCTTGTCGTGGTCGAGCGCCTTGAATGCCGCCGCAGCGCAGCCCTTGAAGTCGCCCGCCTCTACCACCTGCATCCAAAAGCAGGCAAGCCCGTGTGTGTGTATGTGTGTGTATGTGTGTGTTGTGTGTGTGTGTGTGTGTGTACGTGCACGCATGCGAACCACTCAACCTTGCTGTGTCCCATGTCCCTACGGTCGCCGCCCCGCTGCCGGCTGCTCAGAGGCACCAGACAACCTCCCCACCCACCACCGCCTGCACTCCACTCCCCGCCACTGCTGGGCACCCAAAAAGTTACCGGCTCACCCCCATCAGAATGCACCCCATGCCCACCTCATCCACGGGGTACTCCTTGTCAGCATAAGTGTACTTGAGGCTGGTGCCCTTGGCAAAGCAGGGGTGGCCCTTGCCCGTCGCAGCGCGGCCCAGCTCGATCACCCTGGCGCGCGCCGCCATGAGGCCGAAGCCCAGGTAACTGAGGGGAGGGGGCAGGCGGGTGGTCGGGGGTCGGAGGGCCGGTG